GGCCGGCCTGGCGCAGGCGCAGGCGCTGGATGTCCCCGTCGTAGGCGCGGAAGCAAGGGTGGCACAGCTCGCAGCCGGGGTAGGTGCTGCAGTGGCCCCGCTGGCACTGGTCGCAGCGGGGGCCCGTGACACCCGGGCGGCAGAGGCACTGGCCCGTGGTCTTGTCGCACCCCACGTCCTCCGTGCCCTGGAAGTCGCAGTCGCACTCTGGGAGATGGAAGGGTGGAGAGACAGTGAGGTGAAGCCCGCCAAAAGCAGGGGGAGAAATAAATTCACGTGTGTCTAAAATCGGACCCTGTCAATGGGACGCCAACACAATTTGAAGCCCAACCCCACCCGTCAGCCTCTGCAGCATCCGCGAAGAAGGTGCCACAGGCAGAGGACCAAGAAGAGCCCCCAAAGCCCAGACACTTGCCCAGCCCCAGACCAGTGGCCAAGGGGCTCACCCAAGGCTGCCGGGAGGGGACTGGTGGATACCTGGAGATGGGGATGAACTGGGAGGCTGTTCCAGAAAGGAAATTTCTCTCACAAGATAACATGGAAAACGCTGATGTCAGGACATGGGCCAGGTGCTCTTTCCCAGATAACCCATGATTTCACAGTGCTAAAACACCAAGCCAAAATACAATGGATGCTCCCTACCTGTGCACCCTACCCCGTCGTCTCCGTAGTGTCTGTCTGGGCAAACCTGCTCCTGCATGGCAGCAGAGCACGTCCGTCCCGTGAAGCCTTCTCTGCACGGACACTGTCCTGTGAACTGGGGAAAGAGAAATACCTCGGGGAGACCCAGCTCTGGGCACTTGCCTAGGAAACGCCTTCCCTCGACTGCTCTCGAGCACTAAAGCCAGCACATGGACAATCTTCTCTACTCAGCCTGTGCTGTTCATGCCGGGCTGCAGGCTCAGCCACGGTGATGCAGTCTCCCAACAGCCCAAGCATTGCAAAGTGGTTTTAATCTTTGTTTCAGAAACAAAGGAATCTCCCACAAACAGCCACTTCATGATGCCAGGTCTCCCTGCACTGGGTTTGTTTGGGACCTACCTTTGGCTCTCAGAACGTGTCAGGGTTTTCTTTTGGTTTGGGTTTTTTTTTGGGTTGGTTTGGTTTTATTTTATGTTTAACTTTAATTTTCCCAGTTGTCTCTTAAGCCTGGAGTGACACGCAAGCTTTTCATTGACAAACAAGGATAATGAACTTGCCTTGTGTGTACGAAGTCTCTTACTAGGACTTCCTTGCTAAATATCAGGCCTTTTAAAATGGCTTAATCTTGCCTCTATAATTACCACCTTCTTTCATTTTCCTGAATAGGCAAGCATAGTGTTTTCTACAAAATGGGAAAAGGAAAGTAAGAGCAGGACGTGCTCGGGAATGTACAGCCCTTTTTCTGGAGGCTCCCACCGATGGGATGGGATGACAGAGCCATCCAACAGCTGGTTTCAAAGCTCTGGGCGATCCCCAGTGTGGTGCTGCCCAGTGGGGACACCGCTCTGTAGGCCATGGGGCTCTCTGCTGCGCAGTGTGACCCCTGCTACTGGCAGCCTCTCACAGCAGCGTTTGCAGCATTGGGAAAAGACAAAAAAAGAGGGCAAGCTTGCAGATGCATGCAGGGAAACGAAAAAGAAGTATTGCTGAAAGATGCTGAATCTGCCCTGAGGAAGCTCTGGGTGGGCTGGGCCGTA